TTACTGTAGTTTGTTCAGTCAAACATTTTATGGCTTACTATTTAGCTATCTTACCATGACCGATGTGACACCGCAACCAAAGAAAAAATGTCAAATTAACCAAATCATTACTGTACCATGAATGCTCCTATCTCCAACACTTCACACAAAAAAATAACTCTTGCATGCCTTGCGTGCCTATGTTTGTCTGTAGTGGTGGGGTGTCCTTATTTGAAGGGTTTCTGGAAGACTAGAGTTAACTGTATTATTGTCTATGATCATTGTTATTGTTACAAGTTGCTCAAATGGAAAGATTGTATCTTGGAGGCTATGCTCCTTTTGGCCAGCACCAAAATTCACGGCCTCTGACCAGATCTGATTTTCTGAACAACCACACTGTTTTCATTCCATACTCTCAGCCAGTCAGATTTGTCAGATTTGACGGAAAGCCTGTGAGTTGGTGTTGAGTCCATCCAGAGGGTGGCTGACCAAAAGGAGTGCGGCATTTGGAAACAAGATTGACAAGGACGCCCTAAGTTAAACATTAGCTGTTTGTTATCTTTTCTAGGAGCTTGATGGTCGGACGATCACAGTGTCAAAAGCTAATGCACGAACTGGTGGTGGTGGAGGTGGGGGTGGTAGAAGGGGTGGCCGTAGAGACTATGGTGGTGGTGGCGGCGGCTTTGGTGGTGGAGGACAATATAGAGGTGGAGGTACTGTATTGATACACACCATACTGTTGCTTCTCCCAGAAGATTTTTTGATGATGTTTTAACAACTTTCTGTTGTTAACTTATTGAAGTGTAGGAAGTGTGTTTGTGTTTTTAGTAATTTTTTCTGTAAACAAGTTATGGTCATTTTCTTAATGTAAAGGGTTACTATAGCAACATTATGACACATGAAAAATTCAAAAGAAGCTCACTGATTGATGACCCCCATACAACTAAAAACAGTCATTTGGTTAATACAGGCACTTGTGGGTGTCTGTATAATCAGGGTTTAACCCTTCAAGCCCCGGAGAAAAACCTTATTTTTCTAAAATGATAACAGTAGATCGAAATACCACAAGTAATATACTATGAAATGTGAAGGTGAATTAATCAACATGACACGAGCGTCAGACAAAGAAAAATTCTGAGTCCCCGACAGGAATCGAACCCATGACCTCCCTAACACCGGGCGGG